ACTTAGGTAGTAAATTGAAATGAACAGACCAAACAACCTCCTGGAGATGAAGACCAAGATGGTGCGGCTTATATTTTAATAGTAGTCTCCTTCAACTGCATATAAGTTATATGATCTCGTTTTTACGACATGGTCGTGTTGTTAGGCCGGCCTAGACGAACGCGCATTGTCCGAAATCCTCTGGCACAGTAGTCATGGTAATTTCCAGGGTCGAGCTGTAGATTTGATCCATTCAGAAGAGGCATATTGTCTGCAATGGCAGGCATCTTTGAAAAACTGTGTTCATCAAGGTCGCCTTGACAACACGATTAAGTTATGAAAAATAGGTCAAAGCACGTCTGAATAACATCCTGAACAGGAGGAATGAGTGTGGGATATTTAACGAGTACTACCCTTTGGCTGATGGATAGAATTTAACAAAAGAGAGAGAAATATAGAAAGCAGGAAGAACCACCGAATAAGAGGAGCATCGACTGATGTGAAATTTGATTTGGCCTCTAACAAAAAAGTGGCTCATGAGTAGTGCATACGCACAGGGCATAACACGAATATACATACACTAATTTAGAAGAAGACTCGATATGGCGATAAGCGTAAAATTTTGGGACTATTTGTGACCGAAAAATTGCGTCCTCATCAGATTTACTGGTACTTTTGAGACTGCAATGCTGACGAAGTGTAAATACATTCTAACATACATGTATTGTGTGAATCGACCACTCATGAACCTTGTGAAGTGTGAGTGTTCTAAACAGATTCGAATTTAATTAAGCCTCCTCTTCTTGTTGCCCACTCCTTTACTTCCTACGTAACTCAATTTATTCGGACTATTTGTATGTTTCCGGTCTTGTTTACCATCTGCCCATGCAGCATTTTACAGGAAAACTAGAATATACAAATTGTTGAATAATAATAAGCAATCTGTGTATTATTACAAAATGAGGCAACGACTTTTTCGATATCCTTTTTAAAGATGTATAGAATTGGATATAAAAATGAGACCTAAGTAATTAATAAATTTGAAAGCGTAAAATATTAGCAAGCTTAAAGCTGAAGCCTTTTTAAATAAAAATATTATTATTATTTTACTTCATAAGACAAAGAGGATAATAAGAAATTTGTAGTCGCATTCAAAATCTACTGGTAGTAGGAAGTTTGAAGAGTTCGGTCTTTCTAATAGCTTTGGTTCTTATAGGATTTGGATAAAATAAAGTCATAACTGTTCTCTCTTCGGATATGAAGTAATTTCAGTCTTAATTGTTTAGTATTGTATAGTATCGTTCTCAATCTCCTAAATTCTATCCAACCATAGATGGTTTCCACTTACTTTCTTAAACTATTTCCTTTTTTCGGGTTGTCATCCATTTTTCTATTTCCATCTGCTCACTTGCATAATCTCCATATCCTCCTACGTGGGTTGCCTCAACTTGGTCCATTGATATGAAATGCAAGTGGTGAGTTCAGCCACTTATGATTTTTGGATCCACAAGCCATTGCAGGCGGTTTTATGTTTAAATAACCTGTTCTTGATGTGTCGACAGGTCTCCCCCACAAAGACACTCTACATGAATGCAAAACTTTACAACCTGATCTGGAGAGAGGATCGGAAATTTCCCGAACAATGGGATTGTCGAGAAACGCCCCATTTTCCCCTTGGATACTGTTCTTATGTCCCATTTCCCAGGATAGTAGCATCAGGAACCCAGTCGAGTGGTCAAATCGTATATTTTGCCCCACTTTGCTAATATTTTAAAATAATTATCAATTGCTCCTAATACGAAAATGCACCTATATTCATATTTAGGTTTCAAAACTATCAGTACATCTGGAATAAGAGCTGTCGTCACCTAGAGGTCGTATACGGTGATGAAGGACTTATAGCTGAGTTTTTCCTAAAATAATGTATGATAATATCACTGAATGAGGACACTATTTTTGAGGCAAGGCTGTGTTATGTTCATCAGAGCATGCGACAAAGGGAGAATAAAGTTAATATTCAACATATGCGAAGAAAAGTTGGGTTTCGAGAAATCTATTTTTTCATAATTGCTGAACCTACTTCCATTTCGAGTAAAAGTGTTGGGTGAAGAGAT